AAAACTCTTACTCTCTCTCCACGAACCAATCTACCGCTTGCTTCCAAACTTGTAAAGTCATGAAATAATAATATTCTGTAATTATATGGCATCCACTATTGACAAAGACCTCAAAAATATAACTTTCAGACTCAGATTATGCCTGCTAGTAGATATTTATTCACATACCAAAATGAAGCTTATACCGAGCTTTTTTGTGCCTTTTTTTTCCCTCCAGAGAACACCTATTGTATATTTCTACTGCCTACTGGATACACCAGCTCCCTATCAGCTGCCAGATGTTGTCCCACAAATGTCAGCTGCCACTTAAGGAAGGGAGCGAAAGCAATTAGGGATGCCCTGGTGACAGCTTGACACTTACGGCAGCAATGTTTACATTTTTAATTAGGTGTGTAACACAAAAGGCACACAATTTGGATTGTTCCTGAAAACTGGACCAGTACCCTGAACTAACATCTTTCACTTGGAAGAAGCAAAGATCAGTGTGCAGGCCAAACCCCAAATATATTGATAGTTTTTTATAAAATATCTGAAACTAGTTCCTGAAACATGTTTTGCATCCAGGAACTGTGAGGAGACTTGCTTGTTAGGGCAACAAAGAATGCTATTGCTTTAAAGCAGTTCATTTTATGAACATTAACATAGTATAATATTAACATACATAAATATGCAAAATATGGTGCCTGAATACTACTTTCGTTATTTATATGAAGAGTTTCTCATCACTAAATTTCTATCTATCAGTTTCTACTGGCATGTCAAATGTCTTTTAAAATAAATTTTGCATCAAATCAATTTAAAAATTATAAACTAAAACCTTGGAACACAATCAGTAATAAAAATCACTCTATATGAAGTAGTTTAGTGTAGCCAGGAGAAGCGGAATAAAAGAATATGCCAAGCTCAAACTAAATGCAATCTATTCCTAGGGGCGGTATGGCCAGATCCTACCCTACAACAGATTTGCTTTGGATACACAGTATTTACTCAAATACAAGAAGACCTTCTTTTTCTCTCTTAAGAATTATGAATTCGAGGATGGTTTGTGTTTGTTCATCCAGTACAGATTTTTTGTACTGCCTTGCCTCTATCGTGCATTTGCATTGCATTACAGTTTAAATAGGCTGCAGGGGAAAAAGTATGTGCTAGCAGCTCCATGCTGGCTATCTCTATGCATGATCTTTTAGTGCAGTATAATCTGAAGTACTGTACTCAAAGCTGTTTGTACTACTGGCTGTACCCATGTACCAGCACAGCAAAGCTACTATTCACAGCAACTTCTATCTGGCCATTAGGATAGGGGTTGGAGTGTATCAGTTGAAGATGCAGGAATAACTTGGAATAGGGGAGTTTTGCTGGATTTTGGCTTAGAGGCTGAATTTATAAGTCTTTACTATTGTGAAAAATGCCATAGACCCAATGTAATTCTGACCCTTCATTCTCACTCGAAAAAGATAGGCTTTCCAGCAACATGTCGTACTGGGATTTTACCGTCCCAAAGGGGAACCATATTTGGAATGACAGACTGTATTTTCGCTTTACATAAAAGTGTTATATTTTTTTTCTGAGAGTTAGTAGGCTGATCTTAATCTCAGGGTACTATCCTGACTCTTGTTAACCTTTTGCCAGTCAGATCTGCCAGGCAAGAGTACCAAATAATATTTACAGACAGGACCAAAGCTGCAAACGGGCATTCCTATAGGTACCTCATCTTTGTAAGAACCTGCTCCTTTCGAAGACTGCTCCCTGCATTTTACCCAATATACAAATCTGTTTCAGAGTATCAAAAAATAAAAGCAACAGTGGGAGTCATCAAGAATCTCAGAGCCAAAATATCATAGTTATTTACCTCATTATGACATCATGTTAAAAAGGTCAAATCAATATAGGAAATTTTATATTTCTTATATATATTTCCTATTTAAAGAAGAGAATATCACATTAACTCACCTAGAGCTTCTGTGCACGTAATCACATGGATGTGATCCATGTTGGACTGGGAAAAGACAGTAATCCTATCCAGTCCCAACACGCACTGAAAAGCAGGGAGAAGAGGCGTAAAATGATTTATGCTGAAGATGCACAAAATCAGTGCCAAATTGGATAAGCTGAGCTAATTGCTTCTCAAATCTGTTCAGATAAATTATCATTCATTCTTAGAGCTGTTTTCCATATCTTCATTAATTCAGTGATATATTCCTTGGTCAAGGATCCCTTTGTTGAATACTATTGGATGTACAGAGGAAAAAAACCTGGCAGAACTTGGAGGGAATGGAGAGAATCTCCGATGGAGAGAATATGGAATAGCCAAAGACTGCAAGTATGAATTCACTGGGGAATATCTGCAAAATGTGTAGCAGCTTTTTCTACAGACAGAAACATTTACCTGTTCAGACCTTTGTCAACTACCTGATCTTGACATTGTGCCTCAAGTTATCCCAATATTTATAAATCCATTTCATACTTACTTTTTCATCTCATGCTGTTAAGTAAGCATTTTTCTCCTCAAGTTCCTGCATATTTTGCTGCGCTACAGCTGTGGGGGAGTCACTGCAGAGCATTATTACCTCACTGCAGTGTTACTGAGCAATACGCTTCCAAAACTGTAGCGTGACTAGCTCTTTTAAGTTTTCCTCTTTGCCCTTGATTTCACACTAACAAGGTAGGACAAACGCAACTGAATGTTAATATATGAACAGCCAGTAGTCAAAGGAGAATGAACCAGCAACCACACAAAATTTATGGAAAGTGAGAAGCTTCCTTCAGTCCAGCAGTTACAATTCGTTGCCCCTGTAGAAGTTCTGAGGTCAGAGCCAGAGACGATTCTCTTTCTTTATCTGGGAGCAAACTGTCCCCAATGGAAGCAATATAAGTTATATAAGAACAACAATTAGAAAACTGGCTTGCTGTTTAAATATTCCAGAACTGAAGCCCAGAATGACCTAGGGGGTCTCACAAAAAGGAGAAACAGAAATCATGAGAAATAATCTAGGCACTAACCAATCACACCACTTAGCTGTTACTCTACTAGGGGGCACCAAGAATGTACTTATTTCCTTCAGGATTATAATTCAATTTGGAAACTAAAATGATCATAAAATATACATGTTAGTGTTTAATTTTCGGTCAAAGTCGTTTATTAAAAAAGATTGCTATCCTAGATTTTAAAAGCATTAGCTTGAGTCATGTAACATAACCTCATTTTGATCACTCTGAGTTTAGAAAATCTACAATTACTAATACTGGCAAGAAGTCACACCAGGGCCAAATAAGATTAACAAGAAATAAAGCTTCATGTCAGTAGCATAATAGAAATTGAAATGAATAATCAAATGGGTAGAGCATTCACGCAGCCTAGGCAGTAAACTCCTCATAAATGGGCTTGAAAGAGAACAATGTGTATCCACAAGAAGAGCCTATACTAAGCACTTAAATGATCATTTTGAAAAAGTTTTCTGTGCAGAATGTTATATTAGGTTTCATAACACTTAAAATATAAAGGGATTTTGTAGCTTTCACTGTTGACTTTAGCACAATGATAAATGAAAAAAATCTTCAAAAACCACAAAGTATGAAAAAATTGGTTTGAAACTGTTAGTGAGACACAGCAATAGGGAGGACTCATTCTATGTTTCTTTTCTACCCTGCTCAAAGAGACTCACCCAAAATACTTTTCCCGGGTTTCTCCTGATGGAAGCAGGGCAGAATTCTAGGACGTGAAGCTGAATTGCCACACTAAACTCGTGTTCTTCGATCTCGAGTTAGAACTCTTCTAGATATTGGTATGTTTTCAGGAAATGCAATAAATAAACAATGACTGTCATTAAAAGCATCTGCCAACTACCGCAGCCCTAAAGACACTTCCAGGTTATTTGAAGGAATAGTTCACAGTAAATGGTTCATGAAAAACACCGATATTTTCATTATTCTGGAGGAAAGAGCTTCCGTTCTTCTTCCCGTAGTGTTCTGCCAGGAAGTGTGTCTTTCAAGTACACAGGCAGAATATCTAACAGATGTATCAGGAATTCAGTGAAAGAAAGGGAGATAAACGTACATCAACTACATAGCTGACCAAAGCCTGCAACCTGAAAATTTGTGTACTGTTTGCATCGGTGGCAGTGTGACAATGCCTGTCAGTATGAGTGTAAGTTGACTAAGCACGAGTAAAGCTAAACATTCAGTATATCTGCTCTGCATCTAAGTGAGACTTGAGCTCTGTTAAAGCACACTTATGAAAGTTTAAGAATGAACATGGCCAAGGCAAAAGTTGAATGTCTGAAGAGAAGTGAAAAGAAGCACATTCTTCACCATGTTACTGTCCCACAATCTATACTTTCTATAAGCCTTGCTCCTGCAGCCTATCACATCCATACATTTTTAGATGCTTAACGTTCATTTTTAACACTCTTGTCCAGGAAATTTTCACTGGATTAGGATGTTATGTTAGCAAGAAATATCACTGATATAAAAGTTTCATATGTATTGCCCAATTATTTAAATGTTTAGGATTAACACAGCAGGAGAGACATTTAGGCTGTTTTCACGCTACCAGAATGTCAAGTAAGTCCCTGTGCCTAAGATGACAGGTGAGTATCTTGTTAGGTCTCTGGAACGAGTACCAAGAGCCTCCGTGAAGAGTGGAGCAGGAAACTAAAAGGAAACTTGGATGCAGAAATGGGGATTGCACTCAGCAGAATTTAGGCCTTCCAAAAGCAGCACTTATTTTCTCCATTACACAACTCGGGATGAAATTCTATGGCCTACTTGTGCAGAAGGTTGAAAAAGATGACTGTAATGGCCTGTTTCGGCCTTCAGCCCATGTGGCTGATTTTTCTTTAGGCTAAGCTTTCCCACTGCTCTGGCAATAAATAGTCTATATTTAGGGATGCTTAAAAGCTTTTTTCCCACTACTACTGCAAAACAACAGGGTTTCAGAGCAAACAGGACTGAATTTATACATCTTTAAATGTCGGAAGTATTTTTCAGGGAAGTTCTCTTACCTCTTTCTCCATTTGAAGTCCTTCTGCTCTGATATTTCTCTCAAATACTTCCCTCTTTTCTGTCTGTGGATTGGATTTTCTATACACCAGAATGTAGTCAATTCGACATTTTCCATCTCTAAAATACAGTCCATTGGCTTTGTTCTTATCAGGTACTTCCTGTTAAGGGAAAGTCAAATATTTCAGTAATGCTAATGTGTTTTGGTAATTGCTGCGTCCTGATCTGCATCTGCAATTTTCAGCATTACTCAACCAGAAAGATAAGGAATTAGAACAAGCTGCTCAAATTTTTAGGTGTTTTACCCAGAATGTTTCTGAGGTCCTCTGAAAGGAGCGCAGACCTCTCCAGCTTAAAACCAGGAGATCTTCTTAGGCAGATATTTTGTCACATGGGAATGGGACAGGACAGAAGAGAATATTTTATGCAAGACCACCTTCCTCCCGCCACACCCACCAGAAAATTAGGTATAGCTTCCTACCTATAAAATAAAGCAGAAAATAGTGTTATACTGAAATGTAAATGTATAAGTAAGGACTTGATATGGTAGAACGCTTTTTTGCATGGGGAGGAGAAATGACGGCACAATATTTACTATGGTGAGAAATACTAAAACCGGGTGCAGAGATTCTCTTTGCTTTGTGACGACAAGATTACCTCCGGCCCACAGGACACAGAAAAGAGTATGAAGGCCCTGTTCCTACCTCACCATACTTCACCCGATTAACTACAGAATATTGTAGGTTTATGGAACAACTGAGGAAACTCACCAGATTTATTTGAAAATAATTCCTGGTGTTTCATCTAGTAGCACATAAAGGCAATAAATATTATTTCTTGGCTCTTTTCAGCAAAGTATGTGCCTGTTCAAATGTTTGCTCTGACAGAAAGAAGCAAGCTGATTTCACTGTTAATGAAAGGTCAAGCAGACCCCTCTCCTGAGAGCCGGAGGACTGGACTGCTGCTCTCTTTTAGAAATTCATGAGATGAAATTCTCCACAGATCCTCCTTACAATTTATCACTGCTTCCATATAATACAAATCTTGCCCAGAGGTTAAGTTTTTGCTTTTCTATGTGTTGAAATTGTTTGTGGCTGGAGCGTTTCTTACAAGAAATGTACACTAAGAGTGGTATATGGAAACAAACCAAATTCCCTAAGAGCAGTATAACGGGCAGGGGCCTTTGGGGACCTCTAGACCAGTCCACCTCCAAGCTGAAGGGAGGGTTGGGCTAATTCTCCTTTGTTTTCCTAGAATTTGTTGAATCATTCCTGCCAGAAATAACCACGTCCTTTAATGCATAACTAAATCTTTGAAAAATGAATATTTTGCCTTTCACATGTAGGAAGAAGAGGGAATTTTCAGAATACTTTCTTCATAGGATAATTGCTTCTGAATTTAAATGACAAAAAGTGAACGTAGTTGCCCTAATAATAATAGGAAAAATTACTCTTACAGAATAAAAAAAAAAATACTCCCAGTCAGGAATTTTAGTGCAAACCACCTTCTTGATTCTCAGGAAGCATCTCTGTTGAAAGAGAAAAACAAATGAAAGCGTCCCAAATGCCCCTTCCCTTGGTGAAACCACTTTATTGCAGGCAGAGAGGGGAATTTTTTTAGGATTGTTTTATTACAGTGCCTGACTCCTGACGCAGCTTCATGCAGACTTGATATAGTAGGAACAGTTCTTGGAGTTGAAAAAGAAGGCAAGAAAAAATATTTAAGCCCTTAGGAAATAATGGTAACAGACCATTTATATCTATACTGATACCATGCTGACAAATGATATTATCAGGATATCAGAAGTATTTTTCACAGAGCATTAAATATGAAAACAGCTCAGGAAGGACATTCCTTTTCTTTTTTTCTGGAAAGTATCTGTGTTGAGAAGACAGAAAGAAAAAATTCAAAAGGGTAGTTAAATAAAAGAAGGATGCAATAGGAGATTTAGAGGCAGTGGATCAGCTTGTTGCTCCTGCTCTGATTTCTGAGCTTCCTTCTCAGCCAATTTTTCTGTTCTGTAGGTGCCAGGTCACAGACAGGCTGTGTGTATTTTAACAAGTTAAGCACTGTCATAGGAAAGGATCTGTTGAGCAGAACAATTAGTACTGAGGATCAGGTGTCCACACTTGTCCAGGCTTGAGGGTTTACTTTGGGCCAACTCTAGTCTGGTCCAGGAGACTCTCTGCCCATTATCAGCTGAAGTGCATCTCACAGTTTATTTTCACCCAGAAGGAATCCGTTTTCTGAAATCCAAGACTGCTCTGCAGGGCAAATCAAAGCTTGGGAAGTGGGGGCAATCAAGAAGTTCACTGCAAATGTCCACTCCTGATCTGAACCAAAATGCTATCACAGACCCACCTAGAGCGTATCACAAGGAATGTACTCCATGTGGAGCAGTGACTCCACTGGAAAAACTGACAGATCGGCCCTTTGGCTCCCTATGTTCCATCTTTTCCTCAAGAAAATTGGTTTGCCCTACACTGACTCCTCAGCGAATGTGGGATCTTGTGATAAAAAGTATCAATGAAATTTGGCTAAATTATTTGACCTATAGCCCTACTTCACCTATGAATACGACTGCCTGGGAAACTACTTTCTATTGAACTTGTGACACTCTCCCAAGCCCAGTACTGCCATTTTTGTTCAGAAAGGCTGCTTGGACGCTATCTGTACTTGGAGGACCTTGTCACTGGAGGAATCTAGAATGACAAATCCAGACTGACAAGCCCTCCTGGACTTGTATGGGCTCCATACAAGGAACCCTTTCTGTCACCCTCTGTTACGGGAAACTAATTAGCCTATCCAGGTGGCTTTACAAGCCGTGCCTGGACATAAGGATTGTCAGGATGCAGTGATGTAACACAATACAGCGACAGCCAAGCTGGCTCAGCAGTGTCTGGAAATAGGAGCTGCTGGACTTGCGCATTATCCACAGTATCCCCGGTTTTCGCTATTCTAGATAAAAGTCACTCTCACCTTGAGACTCACTGACACTTTTCAGACATTGCCTCTGTTTCCCTCTGTCATGACTTCAAAATTCACTTTTCCTGCACTGATAAAAAAAAGTCTAGAACCAGTTCTGACTGCAGTTTTTGGTGGCAAAGTTGTCTGGTCATGGAAGTCAAATATCCATCCCTTTGTCTGAAAAAGGATGCTAGAAGAAAGCTGCAGAACAGGAAAGACTTAACTTTAGCAAGAAGTTTAGCATTTCCTGTTATTTTTGCTGCTTAATTTGTAATACGCATAGCTTAACGTGTTATCATCAGGATTCTGTTTGCCAGGAATGCACTAGTTTTCCTATCCTCAGAACCCACAACTGGGAGTCGTCAGCATTCATAGACGCAGGACTCATACATATATACATCCTAGGAGGACTTCAAACTAAAGGCTTACGTCAAATGTTTCACTACGCAAAATCAGAGGTTTTAAAGCTATAGGGAGTTTACATGGAAATTTTAAACAGAAATGCAATTAGGGAAATCAAGGATGCTCAAAACTACCTAGTTTTTTAAAAAATAAATTAAAAGGTCTCCAATATCCACTTATTTAAAAACAGATTAGATTTTTTCTTCATTTCCAGTTCTTTTCATACCTAGTTGTTATCAGTACGGAAGTCTGATGAAAATAGGATCTTTGAATTTTAGAGATGATCTTTTCCTTTGGCTTGTGCCTACTTGAAATTATAATCCCTTACATATGACTTCACAACTGGTGGAGGGACTAGTACTTGCATCATCATGAATAGCGATAACCCAGAGGAACCCAGAATCACCCAATTTGTAAGGCACAGTTCTAATCAGCGAATGAGTATATTTTCCATGTGTGTCACTTTTCTTAGCATCCTTTTGCCCATTTATATTATAGTTTTGGGAAGGCTGTATTTGTTATATATCTTGAGCTCAGCATATTCTTGATACCATAATATATTTAATTAAAAAGAGCTTTTCTAATAACAAAATTATCTAGGCTGCAAAATCATGTGCTCACAAAACTGTTACTTTCTAAGTTGTAGTTATCTGTGAAAGCTTAGATTATCTCTTCCCACATTGATCCCAGGCACTGAACAAGATGGATTTTGTGGGAAAAAATATGCATCTAGCTTGTAATGTAATAAATGAGTTCAAGAAAACTGAGCTGAAATTGCACAGGCTTTCAGAGGAGCCATAAAGAACATCAGAATTCTTATTTTGCAACTTGAATACCTTTATTCTGGCATAACCTTTAGTGGAAATTCCAATTTATAAAAAGGACTGTTAAAACAAACTCTGCTATACGTAGTATTAATAATACTGTCCCCAAATATTATCAACAGAGTTTGAAGCTTAACTGGATTAGAGGAGTGACTTTTATCATTTTAATTTCAGAACTACCTACACTAGCTGGAACCTTAAGAATAGACCATACATGCTGATTTAAGTAAAAGATGAATTTTGTCCCAGCTCCTCCTTTCTCCCTTCTCTGGACACAGAAGACTGATTTAATGCTCCACAGAAAGAGAGGTGGCATTGAAGCGGCCTTAGAGAACAGCTCCTAAGTCATCTTTCCCTTTCATTTTTACTTCCTGTCTGCTGTTACTCTCGTTCGCAGAATTTGAATCTTCAATGGAGTTAAAACTACAAGATTTTGGTGATAATACATCTCCAGTTTTAGATTTTAAAGTGCATATCTAATTATTACACTGGCATACGTAAAAAGTGTTTTGATCAATGCACATGCAGAGAAATGTGGTTTCTAATTTACTTAGAATTTAGGTGTGCCTGAGTGAACCACAAAACAAAGACAAGACCCATCCTTAGCCGAAGGGTAAGCTGAATGCCAGTCTGGCTGTGCATCTGTGATAGAACCGTTGATAAAGCTCCATCCACAAAAACCTTCACTGGAGCCAGTCATACACAAACCAGGAAGAACGCAACATCAGTTTCAGATCTGGTTAAGCATGCACAACTAACAGTTGAAGTAAGCAGTATTTTGACTTGTCAGCTAAAAACAAGAAACTTTTTGAATTCTCTTGTAAATTTTTTGGATTATAACTGCATTTTAACAAACTCAGTCAGAAACCATATTATATTAGACAGCTGCAAGGCTAACTTTAGAACTAAAGCAAACAAACATCAATATAGCAATATTCAAAGAGACTTTCTCTGGTGTCACGTTCCCTGTCCTGAGGACATTAGGGGAGATCTACAGGCTCTCTTACCTGCTCAAGGTAGAACTCCATCACTAAACTGAAAGGAAAGTTTGAAGCTTCAGAGTTCACCCCATCACTGCACAGTGGTGCTCCTATATTTATCCACCCAAACCATACAGATACATCTAAACAGCATATCTTTTCCTTCTGGAATTAATCAGGGGCCAAGTACTTTGAAATCTTTTTTGTAGATGATAGCATCCCGCAGCTCCATTTTCTGTTTTTTTTTTCCTTATATACATACATGCAACCTATATTGCGATTTTCCTCAGTTATAGCTATGAAAAAAAAAAAATTGTTCAGATAGGAAAATATTCCTCAGACATTTTCCCTCTTGCTTTGAAAAACAACAAGGTCTGGGACAAAGAATGCATCAAAAGGGGGAAAAAAGGATTTGCAGCATTGTTAAATTAACAGTACCATATGTTACTCTCTCTTGTCCCCTATCCTCCTGATCATTCTCTGTTCATTTTTCTTCTTTAACATGCAAAGATCATGTACCTTTCACCCCTCTCTACTTGTTAGAGACCATATGGTACATGATTACACAGGGATATCATGTCAGGTTACCCTACTACAATGCAAGCAGGCAAAGAGGTCCCTATGAAAGTGATGTGGGAAGCTGAGGAAGAGTGATGAGAAAAGGGGAAGATGAAATTGTGAGCAAGGTCAAACACATCTCTGGGTGGCCTGAATTTTGTGCCTTTAATTATCTGCTTAAACACTCCAGGAGCGCAGCTCTCTATGGGCTGAATTTCTAGTACAAGAAAAATCTCTCACTCTCCTCAAGCGTTTCACAAAATAATTTGCACCAAAAAAAATTTCTAGGTGCTGAAAAAGCCATCAGCTGTAATTATATCTTCTAAGACACATCTACACTAGTAAACAAATCAGGACTGGGGCAGGGGCTTCAGCACTTCAGACCATGGTCTTCCATACTTTTTAATCTGGTGTGGCCCTATGAGTTCTGACCTGTGTCAATCAGCCTCCGCCAAACTATCCTCAGGCAGTTTGGAGATAACACAGGACCACTCCAATACATAGTCTGGACGCAGCCACACTTCTGAGGCAGGGTGAAAGGAAGCCTCAGGGCCAGAGACCAGTCCCTCATCTATTCTCTCTGGGCAGATAGTCCTAACATCTGTGAGTTGTACGGCAGTTTGAGCAAAGTTTAGAGTATCACTTTCCTTTCTTTCTTCTTCATACTTGAGTATATGATATTTTCGCTGCCTTAAGCCACAACTTAAAAGGGACTTTGTGCTAGGCAATGATCTCTCCCTGCTTGGTATACTCTTGGTATACAACATCAGGTTGCTTCTGTTCTTCACCGGAAGAGAATATGTGTCCCATATCTGACACGCAATGCCTCCTATGAGAAAGTCATGCTAAATTCTCCTCCTCCTTCATCCTCTAAGATTAAGATAGGAAAAAAAAAATCCATCATTTTTCAGAAAAAGTGAAGCGTTCTACTTTGCTGCTTCAGGAAACGAGTAGACAACAAAGGCTTGTACAGATGTTTCACGGGAGTGGCGCGTAAGATAAATAAGGCCTCCTTTTAACCTAAAATAGTTTCTTTCAGCATTATAATCTTTGAATGGAAAAACAGTCCCTATGACAGTCCCCAGAGAATGAGATTTTCAATCAGGTTACATTTATTCGCTTCGATAGTGGGCATATTTAATTATTAGAATAATAATTCTGCATATTCTTACCTCTCCCACCACTTCCAACCTGCTGGCATCATCAGAAGTACTGGTCAAGTTACCATGGTGAAGCAGAGAGTCGTCGTCTTTGGAAGGGCTGTTCACACCTTCTAACTCATCAAAAAAAATGTTGACGTCCTTGGCTACTAAAAACAAAAATAAAAATATATATTCGAATCACAGTTGAGCCAAACAAAGTCTCTGAGTGTAATGTGTTATTATCAACAACTGCACTTTTTTGTTCTGGTATAAGTATCTACTATATTAAGTTTAAAATCTCCTGATGCATATTGGTGCAATGCTTTTTTTCACCAGTAAGCCACAGAGAGATTTAGGATATAGAATATCTCTCTGATGTCAAATAAGTAATCATCTGTCACAATAAAACATATGTTAGCTATCTCTTCAGCTTCTCTTGAGATAAGTGACTTAAATGATCGCCTTCTGGATTACTATGGCCTCTGAAAATTTTCTTCTTATAATGAAGCACGTTTTTAACATACTACATAATGTTAGAAGCTGTACAGAACTGTAAGGCAATCAGAGGCAGAGGCTCCCAAATAATTAACGTCACTCAAAAGAAACTGAATAAATCAGCCTGGACAAAGCTCTGTACAATTTGGCTATTTCTAGCTTAGCATGTTTTGGTATCTGCAAAGCTGTCACGTGCAGATGTGCACAGCCTTCAGAGTTGGGCATGAAGAAATGGCTTAAATTTGTAGGATGCGGAATTATATCCAACTTGATGAAAAGTCAGGAGATATGCTCTGCGGGAGCTGTTTCCAGCCCCAGCCCCAGCACCTGGCCTGTCCTGGTCACTCCGGTGATGCCCGATGCCCGGGGCTGGGCCTGCCCTCCGAGTGAAAAGGGTAGTGAAGAGATCAGTGTGAGGAGAACAAAAATGCCTTTGCTGTGAGGTTCAAGCCTCTACTGTGTGTAGGCTTCATTTCTCCAACCCTACATTTCATACGCAATACCCAGGATTATTACAGTAGAGCCAAAATTGTTGGAAAGGATCCCAAAAGGTCCGCTAATGAGCCTGTTTCCCTGACCAAGGCACGATCGAATACCTTTCTGTCATTCTTGCCAGAAATTTGTCTCACTTAGTCTTCCTCACACTTTTTGCAAACTCAGTTGACTTTTGGACTCATTTTCCTTTGCGCAACATCCTCCTGATCTTCTTGCTTCCCTGTAATTCCCCCAAGTAAGTAACAGGCAGTTGTAATTTCTGTTGACAAGAGTTTATATTGGAACAGCTAGCAATTTCTAATTGCTCGTGGCACCTTGGTCCCATTTCTAACTACTGGATGCAGGTATAAAAATTCATTCTTCCACTGTGGAGAGGCTGAATAGCCTCCAGAAATTAAAAGCTGTTAACTGTTCCCCAGCCTTTATGAGCGCTTTATGACCTCCTTCTCACCCTTCCCTTCTTCAAGGGTTGCAACCTGGCTTAAGAAGTCTTTTTTTAAAAATCTTTTAAAAAATGCTTCAGGATCGACAGCCTCTACAGGCAACTATTCTTCACTATTGTCAGCAGGAGAAAGTTTTCTTCCTAATGCTCATCCTGAATATGCACCTATGCTGCAATTTAAATAGATTGTGCTTTTCCTATCAGTCATGAACATAGGGAAGAGATTGCTCCCTTTTTGCACCTGTCTTTTACAGTATCTAAAGTCTGTTATTACTGCTTTATGTGGGTAAAAAGATCCACATAAGATCCAAAGATACAAGAACTCTTTTTCTTCCTTTTCAGGCATAAAGTAAGGACAGGGTTAACAACATACCTTGCACTTTAGATTGAAATACTTTTGCTTACGAGGCTACTACAAACTTTAAACAAATCAAAAAACCCTTCACATTCAAATTAGATAGCATAACAAAACAGTAGATACTATAGACTAGACTAGACTAACAATAAGAAATTCTCTGCCAGATTTGCAGTTTTTAGGATGGCATAATACTCCTTGAATTTAGCAATTTTTTGGTTGCACACTGCCTAATCTAGCGACGATTCTTTGTATCCCAATATTGGAATTGCACAATATTTAATCTCTATTTAACACTTTGAATCATGATCTTTCAGTTTTAGATAACACCCTCTGTTCTGCTAAATCCCAACCAGCTTTAGCAGCGATACCAGGGCTAATAGCCTCACCTACTTCACTCACCTTTGAATTGTGCTTGTCATCAGAGACTTAAAACTGCTTTTCAAAGATAGTGAATCCCTCTTGCCCTTTTAAAGTTTTTTTTTCTATCAGTTTGTTTATTTTACTTGTCCTATTTTTGTGAAAAGTGCCAAGACATCATTAGGGACCTCTGGTCCATCACCCAGGACCTGAGCTTTCTGTTTTTAGACAGGGCTTGGCCTCACAGCTTCCTGTTCCATGTGAGGGGTGAGTTTACTGAATCGGGGCAGAAGAGCATGGAAACTCCCCGTGTTGTTTTGGTGCGCGCAGCGGGGAGAGCCTGCAGCCTCTCAGTGTCACTGGGGCTGCATCCAACCCTGTCCTAGGACAAACTATTGAGGTATTTGTAGACTCAGAAGGAAGAAATAGACACCAATTTGTAGCACAGGCAGCAATATTAAAGAAAAGATCTGTCCCCTTCATCCATTTCAGTCCTTAAAAATCGTACTAGAATTGCTTACACAAGGCAAGGAAATTGCCACAAGACACAGCAGAGTCTAACCACCTTCCCTACCGTATCAAATGGCAAGACTGGAAGCTTTCCACCCTTATGACACTAATCTGGATGTAGATCACAACTAGCCTTTGCATACATGTTTATATGAGTAGAATTTTTCTGGATAATCAATACAAAGAACTGCTGGAGCAGAAACCTTTTTGAATCACTTGAAACCTTACTGACTGAAATCCTGAAGAGCACCTCCAAGAAAGAAACACATTAACCTGTATGTGATCAACACCACAGCATACTATGAAAAAAGAACAAAAAAATTAAATAGGAAAACTTTATCGAAAGATTACATAAGATATATATTTGTTGCCAAGAGAAGCAATGAAAGAAATAAAAATGAAACAGATTTTGTCTGGATGCCATGCACTAGGGAGTTTGAACTAGTTGCTTTTCCTTCCATGAAGACTGCCTTGGTATAACCGATGAGCCCACTGAGATACTGGAAATGCTACTTCCTGCAATGCCAATAATGCTTTGGGTTGCAAAATAGATGGTTTTCAAGCAGATGTTTGAGATATACAACTTGGTGTGTGAGAGAGTGAATTTGTTTTGAGGTTTCAAGCAGAGAAAGACTAGATTATTTTGAGGACTTGGAATAAACATCAAATCTTATTTCAAAGTCACTTCGAAATCCAACCCATCACAGCGGTTACTGGAAGTTGCGGAGGCAGTGGATCTCTGCGGGTTAGTGAAATTAGCTCTAGTCTGCCTTTAGTAGCAAATTGCTTATATCAAAAGAACACAGATAATTGGCATGCTGGTTGGTAGCTTCAGAAAAGAGGATAAGGAGGAGTGAAGTGGTGTATATACCGAACTACCTTGTCAGCACTGGAGGTGTCTGTGACCCTCCTTCAGCTGCAGTAAATGCATGCTGCTGGAGAAACTGTGAAGGTCTTTACCCTCTTGCTGTCTTTGTTTTTGAAAATATACTCTTGTGTTTCAGTCACTGACATGGGAGGTCTAACTTCTTTTGCTGAGAACACTTTTTTCCCAAAAGTCTCATTGGATACTTACACTACAATTCCTTAAAATACTGTTCCACAAAACCAAATAAATAATTAAAAATTACACCCTAATTGCTTCCATTCTCTGTGCTGTCCACTTTAATAATGGCGATGGTACTTCCAAGCCAACCGTCCTACTAACTGTAACTAAACTTAACCACTCCACTCCACTGAACATGAACACTCCTAAGTTGCCAAATGTTGCTAAACACATAACCAGGGCTCCATCTTTTATTTTTGCCTCCGACTGTGACATATATATGCTCCAAACTGATCCTAACATAATCATATATAATAATTTTCCTTATCACTTGGGAGATGGACTGGTGCTAGTATATAGTCATATCTTTTCAGGCAGTGAAATTTAACAGCAGTAGAGCAATATGCATATTGCTACAACAGATATTAAGAACTCCCCCTATGTTCATAGATCAGCTTAATTATACAGGTTCTTTTCTCTCTCCATTGAGGAAAAAAAATCAAGGTGATTTAATTATTATTCCTATAGCCAGAATCACTTGAGGAGTTTGAAAGAATGTGGATATACAAATATTTTCACCCCAAATTTAGCAGAACTACATGTTCTGGAAACTAGGGAATTCTGAGCGAGAGTCAATGTGGAATCTGAGTGGTCCACGAGACCATTCAAATCAGGGGGCTGATTTGGGTAGCACTCAAAGATCATTTAAAATAATCACAGAATGGTTGAGGTTAGAAAGGACCTCTGGAGATCATCTAGTCCAAAAATGCCCATGTCTTTCTGAAGATGGACACTCAAAAATCAAGACCCCTAAAATATGAATCTCCTTTTAAAAATGGGACTTGACTCTATGTGTTAGTGTGGCAAGACAGAAGCATGCTCAAAGATTATGTTTCTGTTAATTAAGAGCCCTTTTATTACTAATTGTCACACCATGCCATTGAGTATACTCTAGCTTTGGATAACGCAAACTGCTCTTTGGAAGCTTTTTGGCCTATCAGCAACATTAGATAATGAATTTATTTAAAAATTCTTCCTATCAATGCTTGCAAGATGTATAGCACAATTCTACTTGTAAATGCTGGTGGAAAAGGATTGGGTTTAAAATCACAGGTCTTGGAGAATACCTCTTAATAAAAAATCCTTACTAAAAAATACCATCTGTTTTGCAGAGACTTGCAAACTAGAAAAATTCAAGAATGCAAAGCCAAGGCTCTTTCTACATCTTATTGTACTACATGTTATAACTTTTATAGTATTTATTTGGATTTTTGGATAAAAACATTTTCCTGCTCTCAGTAAGGCTGGTGGATACAATTTACAAACGTTTTCTGCAAGGAGATAACCCTACAGTGCCCACAGCCCAGAACATTTTATCATGTTAAATGTTAAATTCAATAACTATGCACGAAATAACAGCCCTATCTTATAAAATTCACAGACTTCCAGACTAAGAGAGGAAAAA